CACTCAAACATGGAACGATTATGTACAGCCAGATTGAAGTCTAGCATAATGTAAGTGCTTTCAGAATAACTTTTTTTTATAATGAGTGATATACACATATCAAAATCACATTTCAAAAATATAAAGTGAAATAATATTTGTATCGAAGTAAAACTTTAATAAATATTTACTTAACAAATACGGAAGACAAATAAAACATGTACACATTTTTAGCAGTCGTAGTCTTAATTCCGATAAAGTTCTGGCTTTATTTATGATTTTATTTTCTAAAATATTCAGCAGAGTTTCGAGATGATTTTTGGTCACCTTCTTGACTCAAAAATATCTTACACAATATTTAAAAATTAATCCCAAAAATCAAAGAGAAACCAAACTTCAAAACTTAAGAAAAAGCTTACCTATTTTGATCGTGAGCTTTATTTCTTTTATATTCTTCTTTCTCTGCTCTCACAAATTTAGTAGAATTTCTCCAAAATTTTATTTAAAATTTCAAAATACTTTCAAAAATCACACATTTCGTACTTTTTTTTTCTTTCTTTACCTCTATGTTTTTCACTATTTTTCTTTCATCTGGAATGTCTTTTCCTCCCTTCTTTTATCCCCTATTATAGGAATGGGGAGCCACAAGAGAAAGGTTATCACCATTTTGTCTTACTATTTCATCTAAAAGTTGTCACATTTCATCATGCTACTTCACTTAAAAGGTTACCACTATTCACATACCGTTTTATCTAAAATGTCTTTTTACATAGTACTTTATTTAAAAGGTTATCACTTTTCACATGCCGTTTTATTTAAAAGACTTTTTCACATATCAATTCATCTAAAAAGTTACAACTTTTTATATGTCACTTCATCTAAAAGTTATCATTTTTTGTTATATCATTTTATCTAATAGTTACCACTTTTCATTATACCACTTCATTTAAAAGATTCTCACCTTTTCTTACGCATCTTCACGCTTATTCTAACTCCTTCATCTTTATCCATCATTTTTTTGTTTAACTCTAAACTATGTCTTTAACCTTATTATATATTTTTAAACATATGCAAAGCTAAATTAAATATATCAAATATAAGAAATTAACTCAGAAATATTTTTAAGCTATCACATCTTCTCTCCCTTAAAAAGAAATTTCGTCCTCCAAATTGGACTTACTAATAGTCATAAATAAATGTGGGTATTTGGCTTTCATTTCTTCTTCTGGCTCTCATGTGGCTTTTTCAGTCGAATGGTGCTGCCATAGTACCTTTACTAAAGAGATTACATTGGATCATAATATCCTTTCTTTGTTATCCACTATCTGTACAAAAAGCTCAAATATATGATAGATTATCTTGAAGTGCAAGGGGTTCATATCTGAGTACATACGATGGATCTGGGTGATATTTCTTCAACATCGACACATGAAAGACATTGCGTATGTTGGCTAACTCTGGTGGCAATGTTAAACGGTAGATGACAGCTCCCATTCTATCCATTATCTCAAAAGGTCCAATAAATCAAGGATTGAGTTTTCTTTTCTTCCCAAATCTCATAATCTCTTCAATTGGTGAAATTTTCATAAATATATAGTCTCCTACTTCAAATTCTAAATCTCTTCTTCGATTGTCGGCATAACTTTTCTGCCTATTTTGAGTTGTCAGAAAATATTTCTTGATTAATTTTACTTTTTCTGTTGTTTCTTCCACTAATCAGATCCAGCCAGTTTTCGTTCTCCAACTTCTTCCTAACAAATAGGTGATCTGTAGGGTCTTCTATATAAAGTCTCATAGGGTGCCATTTGAATGTTGGATTATTATTACTATATACAAACTCAATCAGAGGTAAATAGTCATCCTAGTTACCTCATAACTCAATGACACATGCTCGTAACATATCTTCTAGAGTTTAGATTGTCTGTTCTGATTAACCATCTGTTTGATGATGGAAAATTGTACTAAAGGATAGTTTAATCCCCATAGCATTTTGTAGACTGGTCCAAAATCTTGAAGTAAACTAGAAATCTCGATCAGAGACGATTGTGATTGGAATTCTATGCAATCTCATAATCTTCTTGATATAGAGCCTGACCAACTTATCTAGTGGGTCATTTACTCTGATAGCCAAAAAATGAGCAAATTTGGTTAATCTATCAACGATAACTCAAATAGCATCATGTTGGGATCTTGTTTCAGGTAGACCCACCACGAAATCCATATAATATATTCCCACTTTTACTTTGCTACCGGCAAGGGTTGAAGTAGTCCTATTGGTCTCTAACGTTCAGTTTTCACTTGTTGGCATATCAAACATTTAGAGACGAACTATGTTATGTCCTTCTTCATCCCACTCCATCGATATTTGGTCATCAAGTTCTAATATATCTTAGTATTGTCAGGGTGCATAACAAATCTAGAGCAGTGCACTCTTTCTAATATCTCATTTTTTAGACTATTATTATTCGGTACACATACTCTGTTTTTAAACCTCAATACTTCATCTTCCGATAGTCTGAATTCTAGCCTAAGTTCCTTACTAACATCTTCTATAATTGACTTTAAGATAAGAACAGACCACTGAGCTTTTCTAATTTTCTGCATCAAAATAGGTTGCACTTTTATATTAGCTAGGTATTCTCCTGATCTCTTATGTCGGCATTCAGATTCAATTTCTGGAACTCCTTTATGAGTCTCCACTCTGAGGCCATTATATAGGCAAGAGTGCAAGTACTCTTCCTACTTAGTGTATCTGTAACCATATTGTCTTTTCTTGGATGGTATAGGATCTTAAGTTCTTTTTACAAGAACAAATACTTCAACCTTTTATGATCTGTGCGAATCTCGAAACTTTCACTATATAGATAATAACGCTAGATATTTAAGGTAAAAATTATAGCGGCTAGTTCTAAGTCATGGATAAGATAATTCTGCTCATGATTCTTTAATTGTCTAGATTCATAAGCTATCACTTTTTCGTATTGCATTAGTACACATTCCAATCATTGCTTTAAAGCATCACTATAGATAGAAAATCCACCAGTACCGTTAGGAATAGTCAATACTGGAACTGTTGTCAATCACTTCTTCAGTTCTTGAAAATTTTATTCACACTTATCATTCTACTCAAACTTTGTATCTTTTTTAGTTAGCTGAGTTAATGGAGTAGCAATTTTTAAAAAAATTTCAATAAACTTTCTGTAATATCCAACTAGACCGAGGAAACTTCAGACTTCAATTACCGTTATAGATTTTTTCTAGTTTACTACTGTTTCTACTTTAACTAGATTTACTGATATTTCGTCCTTTGAAACTCTATGTCCGAGGAAGACAACCTCCTTCAACCAAAATTCACACTTTTTAAACTTGGTATACAACTTCCCTTTCCAAAGTATTCCAAGCACTATTGTCAAATGCTCTGCATATTCAGCTTCGCTCTGTGAATAAACCTGTATATCATCAATGAAGACGATGACAAACTTATCCAAGAATGGCTAGAAGACTTT